GACGTCTTTTATACTGGTCACAATGAGATTTTAATTTACTAATATGTTTAATTATAAGTCATCTGGAATATACTGTAAGTGTGGCGAAGCCAGTTATATGTCACAACAYCTTGCCATACATGAACCTCATCCAGTTTGGTTCTGTTGTAAGAACCTGAAAATGAAGCAGAGAGAAGCGCAGGTTAGATTATTTTGATCAAGGACAGCACAATAAACAATGTTACATGATTTAAATAAAAAGTTTTTAGCCAAAGGCTGAAATTCAAACCCAGTCATTGGTTGTACTTTAATAAATCAGCTAAAATAGAATAAAAACAGTTCATCTTAAACATCTTAAAAACTTTAAGGTCTGTTAACATTTTTGTTGCTGATGGTAAACTGTTAATCCTGATAAATTTTTATCACCCAACCCTAATTTACAGCTGTCCTGTAAATCATTGATGTAAAACAGGAAAACAGTGGYCCTAATATTGAACCCTGTGGAGCTCCCATCATACAGATTTGAAGGCTAGATGTCATTACCTTCAGCTGGAGCTGATCTGTTTCAGGCTTCGTGGTGACCCAGCTGGTGACGTCCTGCGGCAGCGACGGTCACTCCATGGCTCTGACGGAGAGCGGAGAGGTGTTCAGCTGGGGCGACGGAGACTACGGAAAGCTGGGCCACGGAAACAGTGACCGCCAGCGCCGGCCGCGGCAGATCGAGGCGCTGCAGGGAGAGGAGGTGGTGCAGGTCAGGAGCTGATCCTGCTCTGGTGGAGGAGAAGATGTTGTTGTGCTCTGACTCAGAACTCTGCTCCTGTCTGCTCCTGTCTGCTCCTCTCTGCTCCTCCCTGCTCCTCCCTGCTCCTCTCTGCTCCTCCCTGCTCTTCCCTGCTCCTCTCTGCTCCTCCCTGCTCCTCCCTGCTCCTCTCTGCTCCTCCCTGCTCCTCCCTGCTCCTCTCTGCTCCTCTCTGCTCCTCCCTGCTCCTCCCTGCTCCTCTCTGCTCCTCCCTGCTCTTCCCTGCTCCTCTCTGCTCCTCCCTGCTCCTCCCTGCTCCTCTCTGCTCCTCTCTGCTCCTCCCTGCTCCTCCCTGCTCCTCTCTCCTCAGATGTCCTGTGGATTCAAACACTCTGCAGTGGTGACGGCTGACGGGAAGCTGTTCACCTTTGGGAACGGAGATTATGGCCGCCTGGGTCTTGGAAACACGTCCAACAAGAAGCTCCCAGAGAAGGTCACGGCTCTGGAGGGCTACCAAGTGGGACAGGTGTGTTTCTGAAGGGGTGGAGTTTAAATGGTGGGAGGAGCTTCAGCGCTCAGGCTGTCTCTGCTTCCTCCTCAGGTGGCCTGTGGTCTGAACCACACGCTGGTCGTCTCCGCTGATGGAATGATGGTCTGGGCCTTCGGGGATGGAGACTACGGGAAACTGGGCCTGGGGAACTCCACGGCCAAGTCTTCCCCTCAGGTACCTGAGCCTCACCTGGAGAGGATCACCTGAGCTGCAGAGGTTTCAGTTTTTAATGTGTTTTAACTGTGTTCTGCAGAAAGTGGATGTTCTGTGTGGGATCGGCATCAAGAAGGTGGCCTGTGGAACTCAGTTCTCTGTGGCTCTCACCAAAGACGGCAAAGTTTACACGTTTGGACAAGGTACCCTCCTCTTCCTCCTCTGGATTAACAATCTAATCTGTCATTATGTCCATCTTCCTCCTCTGGATTAACAATCTAATCTGTCATCATGTCCATCTTCCTCCTCTGGATTTATAATCTAATCTGTCATCATGTCCATCTTCCTCCTCTGGATTTATAATCTAATCTGTCATCATGTCCATCTTCCTCCTCTGGATTTATAA